GTTGCTGTGTGCTTAACACTGTGCTGGGTACATTATTTGCATCTGTGTCCGTAATCAGTTTAACAGTCCGAGAGGTGTGGGTGTTATTACCTCAGAGAGGAGGAAACTGAGGCTGGAGACCTACAGGAACTCATCTCTCTCCTCTTCACCCCAAACGATGTTTTGGGGTCGTTGAGGCCATGTGCTAGGCGGTCTCTCCCACAGTGGAGGCTTGCCTCCTCTGCAAGTCTGATCAGATGCCTGGCTCTGTTTATTTCTGATCCTTGAGCTGTTAGAGATCCTGAGTTATCAGCAGAAAAACTGCATTATGAATAAAAACACTGATAAACAGTTGTCCTAGGAAATTGAGTCCTTAACGGTGCCCTTTTGAGCACCACTCAGCACTCCGCGGTCCCTGGGTCTCCTCACAGGGTACCTGCTGTGACTCTTTCTTCTAGAAACTGGATGAGGGACTTGCAACCCAGATTTTCAGTGGTCTATAAATGAGGCTTCCTGATTCCTGAATTATTGTATATGGATGATCTTACACGTTTAATCGTGACATCACATTTGGTGTATGTTGATCTGTATTGGAAAGGATGAAGTGAGGTTCATTTGAGGCCATTCTGAAGGGCCCATGGGAGGTGGTCTGCATCCCTGGAACACCTCAGGAGTGTTTCAGAAAGTTTCCCCATTGATTTCTGTGAATCTTCAGGGTTAGCTGTGTGTAATTTGGGAGTTTTGACCCTTTGGTTCCTGTATGGATCATAGAACTACAGCTTCGTAGCTTCAGGAAATCCTCAGGTCGTTTGGACCAAACCCCTTGTTTCATTCATTATTATTTATTCTGCAGATCTTTACTCAGTAACTAACAGGTGCTAGGGCCAGCCCATGCTTTCAAGGAGCTCCCACAGCCTGTGGGAGAGATGAGTCCTGGACAGGGGGGTGATGAAGGTATGGAGGTTTGCCAAATACAGAGAAGCTTTCCCCAAAGTCTGTTCCATGAAATAAATGCCATGGGGCCAGATATCCTGTGGCAAAAGGTTTCACGATATAAATACAATAGGTTTGGAAATGTTGGCATATGGATATTGGCGGAGAGTCCAGAAAGGTGCCTGATTCCGAGAGTCTGGAAATGATACTTTCAATGATAATGATTATTTTGAGACTGTGATATGTACCTGGCATGGATGTAAGTGCCTTATGTGGATAATCTTATTTTATAAAATCCAGTGATTTGGGCGGGCCATAATTTATAAACTGCTTTTGTATTGATAGAGATTTAGATTATTTCCCACTAGATTTTCATGGGCTAAAGATTGATCTTTTTACTTCAAGAAGGGTTTCTCAGTGCAGTGGAATATTATCCAGCCTTTAAAAAGGAATGAAATTCTGACATGCTGCAACATGGATGAACCTTGAGGACATTATGCTAAGTGAAATAAGCTAGTCACTAAAAGAGAAATACAGTAGGATCCCTCTTATAGGAGGCACTAAGAGTAGTGAGTTCATAGAGATACAGATAGACAGCATACTGGTGGCTGCCCCGTGCTGGCAGGAGCGGAAGTGGGGGATTATTGGTTAACGGATACAGAGTTTCATTTCTGCAAGATGCAAAGTGTTCTGGAGATGGGTTGTGCAACAGTGTGAATGTACTTAACACTCCTGAGCTTAAAGATGGTTAAGATGGTACCTTTTATGTTATGTGTTTGTTTTTAACCACAGTAAAACAAAAATACTGTTCTGGCAAAAAAGTCATACGGTGAGAATTAAAATTCACAAATCATGGGATATGATGGACCTCAAGTTGGTATGTATGTGAATGCTGAATATACACATCTGTGTGCTTAATTATTTTAACTGGGGTTTGAGATGAAAGAAAATCAATTGGAGTAGTTTTGTTCTACTTTAAAAAAAAAAAAAAAGAGGGCTTCTCAAGCTTTTGAAGGCTTTGCCAGTTGATGCCCATAAAAAGGGGACTTTGGACTTGAATGTGGTTGCTTGAGTTCCCCTTGAGGCTTGAGTGAGCACGGGCTGGTGTCTCCAAAATTTGTTTTTTTGAGAAAATGTTTGCACTTACTTGAACTATTTGGCTGTGTTTCGGAGTTAGTGTGTGAGAGCTGTAAGTTGAAGCAAAGGTACTAGGAGGAGGGACAGTAGTGATTTGGGGCTGGTGATCAGGATTTAGGCCAACTCCCTCATTTTATAGAAAATGAAAGCAAACGTTGTAAAATCCATGATTGAAGTTCTCTTTAAGAAATCTTTATGTTTTTGACCCTTTGTTTTAAAAACCACATTGATTGGTGGGGACAGATGGTTACTAGACTTATGGTGATCATTTCATAACGTATGCAAATGTCAAATCACTATGTAGTACACCTGAAACTAACAAAATATGGTATGTTAATTATATTTCAACTTAAAAAAAACCCTATTGATTTCAGGGGGACAATGGCATTTTGCAAAGGGAGAAACTATTTCAAACTTTTGTGTAAGGATCATATAGACTGCGTCGAAGTACAGATTAAAGAAAATTCGAATGAGGGTCCAATCCATTAATGAGTTTTCAAAACCTTTTAGAGCCCGTGTTCATTACCTACCATTTCTCTGTGTAGAGCATCCTTCCACGCTGATCAATTCATATCTGCTCTGACACTTCCTTTTAGCAGCTGCAGAGTTCACGTCTCTGTGGCTGCACCGTAATTGGCTCCATCCTCTCTGTTACGTGTTAGCTTGTTCTTAGCTTTTCACTGTGATAAGCACCCTTGGTCTGTGCATCCTCGGGCCAAAAAGCTACATGCATTTAGCCAAGCTGTCCTTCTGAATTTATTACCCATCTCTCCACTATAAGTTTCTTAAAACTCTTATCAAATTGAGCATTGTTATAGTTTTTAAATCTTTGTCAGTCTGATAAAGAGATTTTTTTGGATCACAATTAAGGGTCCTGACAATGTTTGGTTTGTGTACTTCTTTTTTGGGGAGGGGAGAGAATCTTCATATCCTTTGCCCATTTTTCTTCTTTTAAGTGTCCCTGGTTTAATTTCACTGCCGTGCCTACTTAGCTTGTATTCCCCACCTCTGAGTTCTTTTTGTCCATCTGTTTAATAGGGATAGCTCACAAGGTGTGGTCCGAGTACCTGCAGCTCCTCGGGAAGAGTGGGGTCGTTATGTCTTTAAATATCTTAGAGTACCCTATAACAATAGCTTAATTGGTTCCCTTCTGGAAGGTCTTCTAGTCCACTCCCTCAGGCCTCTGCTGCCCACAATATTTTGGGAGTTCTTCTTGAGAATTCCAGGGTTTTTCTTACTGGGCGGCTTCTCCGTTTGTCTGTACTTGAATCACTGAGGAGATGTTGTTGATACAATCCTGTTTTTTATCTCTGGCTCCCTATCACTTTTCACCAGGGATGTACAGGCTCCCGCACCTCTTCCTACTTTATATTTGTATGTTCATTTTAATGAGGGCAGGGAGTTTATCACCATTTACAATAGGAACTCTTGGTGTATTTTGGTAAATAACTTCATATTGAGGGCTGTAGTTTGTTTCCCTTCATCACTGACTGCACCATGTTGAGTAAATCTCTGTTAACTTTACTCTTTTTTCTCTTTTTTTCTTATTTAAAAAAAAATGAACTGTAAATATATTATTACTAGAACAATAATTCTCAAACTTTCTTGGTCCCAGGAAAATGATTGAGGATCCCAAAGAGCTTTTGTTCACGTGTGTCACCTTGATTTACACATATTGTATTAGAAATCAAAACAGAAAATTTTAAACCACAAGGATTCAGAAGTACACATTCCCTTCGTTAACCTTCAGAACAAAGGTATCATCACACATCATGGAAATCTCTGGAGAGCTCCATCGTACCATCTATGAGAGAATGATAGTGAAAGTACCTTAGAAAATCATTTTGACCTTGCAGACCGTTTAAACTGGTCTCAGGGAACCCCGGGCGTTCTCAGGCCACACTTTGAGAACTGTCCTGCTGAAGAATGTTTCTCAGGCTTTCTGTCTTGTTCATGATGGTCATGTTCGGCATTTTTTCTGGATATATGTGTGCATACCCACAGTATGTGGTATGTGGAGGTGGGCTTGGAGGAAAGGGCCCTTGGCTGAATTGAAAGTTAATGTCTAAGGTGGTAGCGCTCTCCTGAACCGTGTGGAGACATCTCTTGCATGTAGGTTTGCTGTTACTGGAACCAAGTGGGGTTCTCAGTAGCCTCTGCCATGCACCATCCCTTTTCTAGCAGGTATTTTTTAGGCCCATCCAGATTTTACGCGGGGGTGTGGACCCTGGGTCAGGCTGATGTTGCTGGAATGGCCCCTAGAGAGAGTGACCTGCTAGTCCCCAGACCCTTAACCTGCTGCCCTTGGATTCCTGAGAGCCTATGAATGGGCTGATTTTCCTGAACCTGCGTGTGTTTTTTTGGCATAAGGTCTGTAGTTTGCATCATATTCTTAAAGAAGTCTTCTAATTTCATGCTGTAGCTTAAGGTTGGGGCATGCCGTAAAGCTCTTGGAGAGTTGAGAATATACGGTGGTTGGAAAGGGTTTAAGAGAGGTATCACATCTTATATAATTCAATATACAAAAAAAAGATGGCTTTTTTTTAGAGGGGTGCATGTCTTCCCCAGGATGCTCATGCATAGCTCTTCCCACGCTCCATGTGGCTGCCAGGTGACCTGGGTATGCTCATTTCAGGGTAGGTGTCATCATTTTAGCTGTGGTCCAGTCTGTTGATTTGCTTAGAGCTGCTTCAAGACAGGTTTCAGTTAGTAAATGAAGCCACACACTCTGTATTTTGTTCTGTACTGGTACCTGATTGGTTGAATGGAACTTCCCTTGCAGTTCTTTTATCGAAACTGAAGAATTCAATTGGAAGTACCTTGGCTTGAAGGAAACAGAATTTACAGTCTGATCCCACATCATCTCGGGGTCCTTATTTTCTGAAGATTCTGTTCTTTTTTTTTTCAGAGACTCTAAGTCACTGAGCTCCTCTCTCTGGATTGTCCCATAGATTCCCTGTGAGGAGCCGCTGCTGGTGTGCCAGACCTCCTGGGGGCCGTCTGCCCGACTGCCCCTGACTCCGGCAGCGGGGTCCCCGATGGCAGTGGGCACCTCCCCGTGAAACCTGCCAAGCTGGACGCCACAGCTCTGCACGACGACACTTTGGCCAACTCCGTGCCCCCTTCGGAGGCGTGCAACCATGCAGTCCTAGCCTGCAGCCCGGGCATCCCTGAGGAACACTATGTAAGCGAGGCTGTGGAAGATGCTCCCGGCTGCAGAGGGTACCGGGATGCCTGCACCATCACTGGTAAGGGCACCTCTCCTTGCCAGGAACGGGGGAAGTCAGTGAGGTCCGGGGAAGGGTGGGGCCGTAGGAGTGGGTACCGGGGAGGGATGTGGAGAGTGGGGAGGGACTACCGAAGTGCAAAGAGGCTGAGCTTTGGGATCATGAGACTGGCCATCCAGAACTGACTTGTCTGAGATGAAGACAGCACCTCATAGAACTGTCGTGAAGGTTAAAGACGGGATCACTGAACCTTGAGCAGCGTCCCTGGCCCGTAGCGGGGCTCAGTGTAGTTTGGCCCCCTGCCCCTCTCTCTGAGGCTCAGTTTCTTCAGACATAAGATAGGTGTAATGGAAATAACATGCCATGATGCTGTGGGCTGCAGCAGTGGGGAACTCCCTGCAGCACCCTTTGTACACTGTCAAGTTTTGCACAGACAAAAACTTTGTCGAGTTTTGTCAGTCATGCCTTCCCAGTGTCTTGAGAACAGGGCGCTCATCCCCCAGCGCGCTGGCGACATCTGCTATTCAGGCACGTTGTAACGGAGCTCTCGTTTGTGTCTTTCCTCAAGGGATCATTGAGACAACTGCTTGGAGCCCTCACAGGAGGGGGCTCTGAGTGGGAATGGTGTGTAGTTTTCCCCTGTTCTCTCTCCAGTTAGGCATTGAGGGCCCCCAGCCCCACCCCATGTCAAGAGCTTCCTGGGTGTGAGGGGCTTGGAGGTGCCGGGATCCCAGCCGAATGCCTGGGTGCTGACCCCCTGAGCTCCCGATTGCACCAGGGGCCTCCCCTCCACGTGTGCACTAAATCCTACTGCTGCTTGCCTGTGCCCTGAAGGACACGCTTCCGGCCCCCGCCCTCTCTCTACTACACCATCCGTTTCTCCTTGCTCCTGGATCTTTTCTGTTAGCACAAAAGCATGCTATCATCTCTCCCTTCTTAAAAAGAATCCTTCTTTGCTCTGCTTTCCCTGCAGCTAGCGCCTGTGTCTCTGCTCTTCGGTTTGCTCTGTTTTTCCTCCTGTTTTTCTCCTGTGCCCACCGCGAGCAGGCTTGTGACCCCACCGTGCCCCCAGTGCTGACGGCCTCATTCGGTTCAGGGGTCCATCCTTAGCCTTTTCAGCAGGAGTTGACACTGCCGACCACCCGCTTCTCCTGGAAATACTGTCCTCCCTTGGCTTTGGGTCCCGACCTTGCTAGCTGCTCCCCTCTGGGAACTTTGGGGGCCCCGGGGCTCAGCCCTTCACTCTCTCGGGTAACCCACGCCCTAAGTGATCTCACGCGGGCTCCGGGATTTAGAATGTGCTTCTACGCTGAGCACTCTCCAGTTCCTGTCCTCAGACTGGACCTTTGCCCCGAAGGCCAGATGTGTCGGTCTGACTCCACATAACAACACTTGCACTTGGACGCCTGTTGGGCATCTCTGACTAACTTGGCCAGAAATGAACTCCTGATTTCCCCCTCCACCTGCTTTCTTTGCGGTCTTTCTAAATGGTACTTAATCCTTCCAGTTGCCCAGGCCAGAAGCCTTGGAAGCATTCATGACCTCTGTATTTCTATCAGACCCTGGTTTGCTGGGAAGTCTGTTGACTCTTTGTTCCCAGTGTGTCCAGAGTTTGACTGGTTCTCACCAGCCCCACAGTAACTACCCTGGTCCAAGCCACCTTCATCTCACGCCCAGATCATTGCAGTGGGCTCCTAACTGGGCCTCCTGTTTCCCTTCTTGCCTCTGTGCAAGCCAATCTCTGCCCAGCCAAAAGAGTGGCTTTTTAAATACAACGTCAGGTGGTTTAACTCTTGTGCTCCAAACCTCCAGCGGGCTCCCTTCTGACCGTGGCCTAAGTGACAGGGCTGCCTGTGCCCCTTTGACCTATCTCCTCTTCACTCACTCCATTCCGGACACACTGGCCTCCTCACTAATTCTTGGATACACCCGGCACATCCCACCTCAGGGCCTTTGTTCTTGCGCTGCTCAGCACCTGGATCGCCTTAACCCTAGATGTCCTCCTGATTCCTTCTTTACTTTCTCCAAATGGCATTTCCTTAGAGGCCTTTTGTGACTCCCCTGCATAGAGGGTGGTCCACACCCACCTTCCCCATCTCCCTTACCTGCTTTAGCTGTCTCCCCATACTTAGCCGTGAGTACTACATGTTTGTATTTCGTTGACCAAACTTGCAGTAGAATAGAAACTCGCTAAGGGCAAGGACTTTGTGCACCACCGAGTCCCAGTGTCTGAAAGAGCGCCTGCCTGTGGCCAGTGCTCAGTAAACATTTGCTGAATGAATGAGTTGTGTCATTTAATTAGTACTGCATCCCCATTAAATGGAGACTGTTGTCCTGTTTTTACAGGTAAAGAGACTAAATCAGGAAAGGTTCAGCATCTGGCCTAAGACCCTGAGCTCTAAGGGGCGGGGCTTGCGTGTAGGTCATGACCCCCGGGTTATGTGTTCCCTGCCACCTGCCCCCCATCCCCCACCAAGGAATATCGTCCAGTTGGGTGGGGACGTAGATGAGTGGAAACAGGCTGTGCAAACAGGCTGTGCAGGCTGTGCAGTGATAAGCACAGCACACGGGAGAGCATCAAGGAGGGTGCCTGGGTGAGCCTTGGAGGGGAAAGGATCCGGGAGACTAGGAGGGCTTCTCGGAGGAGGCAGTGTCCCAACTGCATCTTCATTCGTCTAAACACATGAGCTAATAATCACTGGGATTCTAGTGGCATCTGTGCCAGTGAAATCCGGGAAACATTTAGCTTGTCAAAGTCGTTTCGCTTTGAACATGACAACCGAGGGCAAAGTAATGGCAGAATTGCAGTGCTGAAACTTCAAAGGCTATGGGGCATGGTAACTGGGGGTTCTTTGCTGGAACATCTGTAGCAAGCACCATAAGACAGCTGAGAAGCAGCTCAGTGCTGTCACGTTTGGCAGTGGCTTGGTAAACAGGAGCGTAAACACAGACACTGTTACGTGTTTAAGACGCAGCCCGACAACGCAGAACACGCTCAGGTTAAAGTCTCATTTGTCGGTCACCGAGAGGAAGACACAGAACAGAAAACATTTTCCAGAGATCTGGAGTTTCTCCGAGAATGCGTATGTGGACTCCAAGGGCTTTGCCAAGTGCAGTCCTGGGAGACCGTTTGGCACCCGGCCTCTAATAAATCCACGCCACCCACAGTTCCTGGGGAGCGCTGAGATGAACAGCAGACTTTTTGTTCCTCTTTAATTTTTAGGCAAAGCCCAAATGCCCATCACAAAGCCCTGCTCCCCCTTTCCCTCCCCTTATCCTCAACCTAGGGATATCACATTTTGGGGTGCGTCATTTTCTTCTTGGGGCAGTTTAACAAGATGAGCCGATAGGGTGCCCATGCTGCCTCTAGTTACGTAACCCATTGTGCTTCCAGGGCAGCGAGTAGTCTTAGGATTTGCCCCAACAAGCAAGCTCAGAGAACTGCTGAGTAGGTACAGAAGCTGGCTGTGCTGAGGTGCTGCCTGGGTCGGGTGCTAATGGGGGATCGCTGTTCGCTCTGAACTGCTGTTGGAGTTTCTTTCTGCACATGGCATTGGTATGTCAGTTTGAGCAGCCCGTGAGGGCCCAGCCTCTGCCAAGACTCTGCCCAGGCAGGCTCATTCGGACAAGCTCATGTGGTAAGTGTGTTTGCCCGGCATGTCCACTGTTGCTTTTCTTTGTGAAAGTTGCGGCCGGAAGGGTGAAAAGGCCACAGGGAAAGTTGTTTCTCTCCTGTTCTGTTCGGCTTGGCGGGTTGTCCTTGGACCTGGGGTGGGGAATTGCAGTATCGAGTTACTGACAGGCAGAGCAGAGGGACCTCGGAGGCTGCTCACCCCTCAGCCCCTCATGCAGGCTCAGGGGAGGCAGGTGACCCCTGCAGGGCCATGAGCAGTGGGTCTGAGTTGGGACCGGGCTTCTGGACTCCACCACCTTGCTCTTTGAAATTCTCTGCAGCGGCTGACCACAGTCTCTGAGGCCCCTTCTGGCCTCTCCTACTGATCCTCCTGATCCTGTGTCTTATCCTGGTTTCTTAAAGCGTCACCTGGTGTCTGGGTCAGCAAGGAATTTTTCAGGAGGTGAAGAACAGTGTCAGGCAGGGTGTCTCCCCCGCTCCTTCCCTCTTTTCTGCCCCACTTCTCTTTTTTTCTGTACTAAATGTGCTTGGCCCTGTACCTCCATCCACACCCCGGTGACGGCGAGCTTGCTAATGAGTTCTGCCCTGGCCTGTCTCTTGATGTGGGGCTGGCGTTGCTCCTCACTTCCTCCAGGCTGATCAGAGCCTGATGATCGATGGCCCGTCTGGTTTCTGTCCCGTCTGTGTGCTGTTGCTCACAGTCTGCTGGGCCACAAACCAGTGAGTTCCTCAGAGGCATGAGCTCCTCTCGCCCTGTTCTATTCAGTTTTAGGTTTCAAGACAGATGAGACTCTGGATGGGAGATAATGGAGATGCTGTGGGGTGTGTGTGTGTGTGTGTGTGTGTGTGTGTGTGTGTGCGTCTGTGTATTTAAAGTATTTTCAGGCTTGTTCAATAATTCTGTTCAACTAGCATCTGTTCGAGGCCAGCTTTTTGCTGGTGTCCGTAGATGAGCTCTGGCCTCTCCCTCGGAGCCCTGGAGGTGGGCAGAGGTGGAAATGACTCGCTGTGACCCGGACAGGATTGCTGCCACTATGCTTATGGGAACTGTCCTGTCTGGTGTCCTTGTCATCACAGGGCCACCATTTCAGATTTGTCCCTTTTCTGTCACTGATCGAAAGCCATCAGAGTTGATGATTTGTCCTCTGAAAACATGCTCAAATTAAAGTATTATGGACTTTCTTTTATGAATTGAA